TCCATGTTGTATTCTTATTTATTTTGTTAAACATTTCCTAATTACATTTAAAAATTTTTTATTTTTTTATGTTTTTATTTAAAGTTTTGAGTTCCAAATTCTGTTCTTCCCTTCTTCCTGAAAATGGTAAGCAATCAGATATAGGTTATATGTGTGCAATTATGTATAACATTTTCTTATGAGTCATTTTGTACAAGACGACTCAAATAAAAGAAAAAAATGAAAGTGAAAAATAGCATGCTTCATTCTGTATTCAGACAGTAGCAGTTCTTTCTATGGGGGTGGATAGTATGCTTCGTCATTAGCCCTTTGGGATTGTCTTGGGTTGCTGAGAATAGCTAAGTCATTCACAGTTCTTCAACATACAGTATTGCTTTTACTGTGTCCAATGTTCTCCTGGTTCTGCTCACTTCACTTTGCAGCAGTTCATATAAGTCTTTCCAGTTTTTCTGAAATCATCCTGCTTGTCATTTCTTATGGCACGATATTTCATTACAATCATATGCCACAACTTGTTTAGCCATTCTCCAATTGATTGGCATCCCTTCAATATCCAATTCTTAGCCACCACAAAAAGAGCTGCTATAAATATTTTTGTACAAATAGGTCCTTTTCCCTATTTTTGGATGTCTATGGGATATAGACTAGCAGTGGTGTTGCTGGATCAAAGGGTATGCACAGTTTTATTGCCCTTTGGGCATAGTTCCAAATTGCTTTCTGGAATGGTTGGATCATTTCACAACTCCACCAGCAGTGCATTAGTGTCCTAGTTTTCCCACATCCCCTCCAACATCCAGCATTTCCTTTATTGTTATATTAACCAATCTGGTAGGGGTGAGGTGGTACCTCAGAGTTGTTTTAATTTGCATTTCTCTACTATTTTAATCTGGTTCCCTCCCAGTTTGATACTTCTGCTTTACATGATCCTAAGCTACTTCACTTTTCCAGAAATGCTTCATGTCTGTGAAATATGTAACGTATGATTTCAGAAGAATCAAAAGTGCACGTTAATGCCAATGTGCATGGTAAAAGTTAGTAAATTGTAGCACATTACTCATTAAGATGAAAGAGACATCACATGAAAAGCACTTTCAAGGATGTGTATGATATAGAGTGGTGGGCAAAATCCAGTAAGATATAACTTATCAGGGATAAATATAAAGGCTTACTTTTGGGTTAAAATCATTCACTTCACAAGTATAAGATGGAGGAGCTATGACTAGAAAACAGTTCATGTGAAAAGAAAGATCTCGCTGTTTTAGTGGACTACAAACTCAGTGTGAAATAGCATCCTCAAAAGCTACTGCTATCTTGGAATACCAGAATAGAGACATAGAGTCCTCCAGAACAAGGGGAATGGCAGCCCTGCTGTACTGTTCTGGGCAGACTATATCCAAAATACTGTGTTTGATCCGGGTGTCATATTTTAGGGAGACTTTTGATGAGGTACAGTGTGTTAAGAGAAGGGTAGCTAGGTGGCCAGGATGCTTAGGGCACTGGAGAGCATGCTGTGTTAGGATATTTTGGAAAAGAGAAGAGTTAGAGGGAACATTATAGCTATTTTCAAATATTTGAAAGGTTGACACATTGAAGAAGTAGCATCTTTTTTTTTTTCTTGGCTCAGAGAGCATCATTAGTTGGATAAGTTGAACAGAAGTAGATTTTGGTTCCATATAAAGAAGAACTTCTTAATTAGAACTGTCCAGAGATGGAATGTGTCTTGACTGGGTGATGCTACTCTGAGGCATACACCCCCAAAAGACCAAGGCTCATATATACAAAGCTGTTTATAGCAACATTTCTTGTAGTAAAGAACTGGAACAAATTGGGTGTCTGCCTATTGAAGAATGGCTGTACAAATGATGGTATATGAAGATAATAGAAAGTTACTGTGCTACAAGAAGTAATGAAAGAGACAGGAGCCAGAGAAGATTTGGATGAACTGATGCAGAGTAAAGTGAGCAGAAGCAGGGAAATAATTTACACTATAACATCAGTATTGTAGAAACTAACAATCAAACTTGTGAACTTTGGTTTATATAATGATGGTAATACAGTAAAGAAAAACAACCAGTTTATTAATCAGGTATTTATTAAGCAAGATTCTGATGATACAAAGACAGTGAATGAAATAATCCCTTGCTCATTTATGGCTGTAGAAGCCTCATGATGAATCACACTTCCCACTTCTTAGCAGAGAAGTAATTGACTGGTATAGAAGGTATACATTTTCAGAAAGGACAAACACATGAATTTGTTTTCCTTGACTATTCTTATTTATTAGCATGGAGAGCTTTGTATTGAATTCCCATTGCTTCACACAGTGCCTGGCACAAAAATAATTGCTGTAAGCATACAATAAATGATGGTTGACTATAATACAAACTGTTGTTGTTCAGTTGTTTCTGTCATGTCCTGACTCTTCATGACCCCATTTGAGTTTTTTTTTCTCTTGGCAAAGTTTGCCATTTCCTTCTTTAGCTCGTTGTACAGATGAGGAAACTGAGGCAAGCAGGGTTAAGTGACTTGCCCAGGGTCAAAATTAGTAAGTATTTGAGGCCAGATTTGAATTGAGGAATTGAGTCTTCCTGACTTGAGGCCTGGAACTCTCTCTACTCCACTACCTAGCTGCCCTGTAATGCAAATCACAATATAATTAAATTTAGTGAGAGATTTTATCAGGGAGATATTAATTATGTAACTGGAGGTATAAAGTAACTTTTTGTGGAGAAGATGGCACTTTAGCTGGGTCTTGGAGAGAAGAATTTCAATAATTAGGTGATGTGGAGGTCAACCATTCCATGCATGGAGTGTGGGTCTGCAAAGATAGAGAATCGGGGCAGTTCAGGACTGTGAAGAATCTAGTTTGTCTAAAACATAGTGTGTGGTGAGAGTCCAGCTTATTTGGCCCTGGATTGTAAGTGGCCACGATACAGGGCTGGCCAACACTAGGAGCATAGCTCACCGGGGTAGAAAGCCCGTGTGATATACATGTTGGAGATCATGAATGATGCTCTGGTTTGCCTACAATGTGGCACTCTGTTATTCAGAGTAACCAGTGTCAATTCAGCCATCTCCACCCTTCTCCCAAACTGGGACTGCCCAGCTTCTTCCTGCTTGGAAGAGGACTCTCTGGATCTTATCTCCAGAAACTGTCCCCAAACCCTGAGTAGCTGCTTCACTCAGATTTGGGTCTCCTGCCCTAGAGCTGAGATGTTCTGTTGATTGGGTGACTGGTAATGGCTAATTCCCCAGCCCAAGACCAAACCATGCTTCTCACCCCCTTCCAGATGTCCACCCAGCCATTTTGCCATCTGTCTTACAGCCACTGCTCTCCCCTGTGACTCTACTCAAAATTTCTGTGAATCTCCAGATCAAACTCCCTTCTCTGACCACTACTCCTTTATTTGTGTTTTCTCCCCTGTTGGAGTATAAGATCCTTAATTTAAGGGTAGGGCATGTTTCCCTTTTGTGTTACTATCCCTGGTCCTTAGTACTGTGCCAGACATATGAGGAAATGCCTCCTCATTCATTTCCTTCCACATGATACAAGTTTAGGGTTGAATGCCAAACAGAGGATCAGAGCTTTATAGTCAGAGAAGGCTGATTGGCCTAGAGTGCACAGGCCTAATCTAGGTTGGTGGACAGGAGAAGAATCTGAATATATAGTCATGGATTCGAGCTCAGGGTTTAAGCCAGGCACAAGAATTATATCTCTTATCCTAGGTATACAGCTCATTTCTTCCTCACCTCAGTATTTTAGAATCCTCATCTTCCTTTGAAGCTTAGGTCAAGTGTCGCCTTTTCTGTGAAGGCTTCTTTGAATCTTCTTCTTCTTGGTTTTCTGTCCTTCCTCAAATTATCTTTACTTATCTGTGTATATGTTGTATCCCTTTGTTACAGTATAAGGTCCCTGAAGGCAAAGATGGGCTTTTGTCTTTATACTCCTAGTGTTTTGCACATAGTAAGTGCATGATAAGTGTTGAATTGAGCTGAAGTGGGTGCAGAATTCAGTGGGGGGGCTGAGAAGCAGGATATTAGATCTAAAGTAAGGTTGCAGATTCACAGAGTGTCTGTCCTAGTGTTCTGCCCCCTTTTAGATGTAGACATGTAAGTGCTAGTAGGAATACAGTGCTTAGGGGGAGAGGGTGCTTTGGTGTTGGCGATTCCATCAGAGAGCTCAGTCCTTAGTCCACGTTCTAGCATTCTTCTGAGGAGAAAGGATTAGTAATACAGATAACCTCAGATCATTTCCAGTCTGGTGTAGACCTTGAAACGACAGAATCATAGAGTTTAGAACTAAAGTTGAGTTAATTCTCAAGGTCAGCTTTATAATTGATAGGAACAGAGGTCTAGCTTCCTGGTTTGGGGTGGGGGTTTTTTTGTCTTTGTTTTTTTGGATGAGTTGACCCCATAGAATTCAAGCGTACTCTTTTGCCTTTCCAGTTTGGTTCCATTTCCTTAATGTCAAAGCTAAATCATCCTTCTTTCCAAATGGAGTTTTGGTGAGGAATAACATTGAGGAATCTGTACTGCCTCCCTTCCTTGTCCCACCCAGGTGATGTACCATGTTCAGTCTCCTTCCTTCTCCGCTCTAGGATTCAGGAGATACCCTGACTGCCTGAGTGGCTGTTTCATTAAAGTTATTACTCATAACTAAGAACATAGTCATTGAGGAATGAAAAGAAGAAAGAACATTTTCCCTGAAGGCCATAGTGTTTTAGTTCCATAATTTAAGACAAAGGAGAACTAAATAATGAAGTTAGTGATGCCATTGAATTTAATATCTCTTATTATTTCTTACCCCCTTTCATTTTTTTTCTTGACTTAAAGCTAACATATTGTATACATTCATAAGCATACTTTCCATAGCAACTGCATAAATTCAAAGAAAACTGTTTATAGATTTCTTAACATTATGTGGTTGAAGAATTGACCAAGGGTATGGTGACTATTTTCTCTCTCTCCCTCTGTCTTTCTTTGTTTTCTCTATTTCCTAGGCACAATAACCTGCGTGTGCGGCCCAAAGGGCTATCCACTCTGGTGAAGAGTGGGGTTCCAGAAGCGTTAAGGGCAGAGGTATGGCAGCTACTAGCAGGCTGCCATGACAACCAGACTATGCTAGATAAATACCGAATTCTTATTACAAAGGTAAGAGTTACTTTTTGTTTCATTTTCCTGGGAAGAGATATTAAAGGAATTCATTTTGCATAGAGCTCAGATGGCACATTCAGTCTTTCTTGTCAAAGTGATTGGAAATATGTGATAAATGATTTTTCCTTTTTGTCACAGACCTGAACTGGATGGCAATAAATAGCAAAAAACCCAGTTACCTCTAAGTGTTTCTGACCTTGGCTCTTCCTTTTTGGATTTGTGTTGTTTTATAACAAGGGCATGGCATATTGGGTTTTATTTATATGTTAAATATTTTCTAACGTGTTTTGGTTAACATTATGCATTTATGAGATTTATAAATATCAATTTCTCTGAGGCCTCAGATACACAAATGTAATTGAAAAATGAAAACAGCTTAAAAATTTAATTTTCAAAAGCTTTCTCATCCCTGGGATGGTATGGGTGTTGCAGGCAGTTAGTTACCTCTAGCCTTTTTCCATCAGGGCTTTTGTGGGGACCATTGTGAACTCTATTGTCTACGTCTCCACCATGATGGTAGAGATAAATCTTGGTTTAGGTTAGTTAGGGGTCCCTCTTTCAGGTTTTGGTTCCTAAATTCCATATTTGCTGAAAATTTTGAGATTAAATTTTTTTACTTTAGCTTTAGAAGAAAAGATGGTGTCTCATTGTAGAAGAGCCCTTTGCCCTAGGAGAGGTAGAGTAACTTGCTGAAAGCTAGGTTGTAGTGGATGGGAGGATTGTCCAAGAATCCTGATGTTTGTCAGACTAATTCATTGACTTCCATGATGTTTATTTTTAAAAGGGGATAGCAGCAATCACTGGGATTGACAAAAGAGGAATAAGCATGCCATTCTTTTTCTTTCCTTTCCACTTATCCATCTCCACCCTTACTTGGTGATCATCTTAAATTTTTGCAGTGCCAGCAGCCATACCTAATAGGCAAAATAAAACAAGGCATTTGAAAGAGTTCTTGTGCTGACCTGAAGAGACTAGGATCACCAATATGGAGCTGAAATAGTTCTCAGAGGCCATCTTGTCCCATACCTGAGGAGGTCTAGTGATTTCCTTATTGAATATTCTAAAACTCACTTGGATCTGTGACCTCATTGATTTGAGATTTCCCTTCAGTGATATAGATCACCATCCATGCATTCTTGCCCATTTCATTAGGAGGATGCTAGTGGAGCATTCGGAGTTTTCCTTTTGTCTTCCCATGGCCTTAGGATCACAGGATCCTGGCTGCAGATCTAGAAATGACCTCAAAGTCCATGTGGTCTAACCCACTCCTTTTCTTTGTCCATTGGATACCCTGCTCTCTTGCTGTGTGACCAGCCCATCTTTTCCTGTTATATAATTTTTAGGTGGATTGTTGGATAAGTAGAAAGAAGTGATCCAAAGATATGTGTTTTTCCATCCACAAACTGAATTAGCTTCTGAGTAATTTCCAGCTGATTATATTTAGGAGGCTTTTCTTACTGGTAATGTGTATTAAACACCAGTAGATGCCTCTTTCTGGCATGACTTATAGCCAATGCTAGAGCAACCAAATAAGGTTAGGAATACATGCCTGGTGATCACATCTGTATGTAATTAATCATGTCACTACCCAGGTGATCACTAAGGGATTGGGAATTTTAATTAGGGTGAGGAGAAAGATAGACAATTACCCAGGTCAGATATAATTGGGGAGAGGAATTTTGACAGCAAGAGGGCAGCCTGAGTGCATTGGGTATCTGGGGAAGGAGAGCGAGAGGTCCTAGAGCAGTTTGGATGAGGAAGTGTGAAGGGGATACAAATGCATTTGTCCGATTTTAAAATTTTTGTGTGTGCTCTTCTGTAAAATGCTTATGTCGAAATTGAGATGTTAGGACTGGTTTAGGTGGCAGTAAACCTCAGAATCTTCCAATTCATTCTGGTCTTCTCTGTTGAGGCTAGTTCAATTCATTTATTTTGGTTTTCTGTCTCCTAATCAAAGCCATCATTTCTTTTATTGAGAGGAAGAATTAAAAAGAAAAAGGAGAGTATAGAGACATTGTATGCTTTCTCTCCACCCTCATTGTTGATTACCAATTGGGTGCAATACAACGTTTGCAGAATTTCCACATTTGTTCAACCTTTAGAATGTATCTTTTCTCAGTGACAAAGGTCTTCTGTAATTATTTGTAAAGGATTTTCCTTAAGATGTATAATTCTGCATCTACTCACTGCTATTTACTATTGGTAGTGGAATCTAATTGTGATATTGATATGCTATGGTATTTAGTTTCCAACCTAAGAATGACCTACAAAGAACCTATATCTTCCCTCGCTTTTTTTGGACAGCTGTATTGAATATGTGATATTTTCTTTCCTAAAAAAAAATAATTGTACTCAATTGTGTAGAGAATATCAGGAAAAACTGTAGTCAGTTGACTCATTTACAGTAGCAGTAGTTAAAATCTTTTGTGGAATATTGTTCTTTCAAAAATATATATGTCAGAGTTTATTTTTAAAAAGCAGATATAAACTGTTACATGTTTAATTATTATCAATACTTAGGATTGAATAATAAAGTATAATTTTAAGGAAATTGATCAGCACAGTTCCCAATTCACTCTGCTGATGAATGACAACATAGAACTGTGTGTAATTTGATTTTCTTTGTTAACTGCAGTGTGATTAAAAAAAAAACCTCTAACATTTTAATACAAATAATTTAGAATCCTACAACTGTGGTATCATGCCTGTCTTCAAAACTCATAGTTTTTTGTAAGAGGAAGTATAATGGTATATTAAATTTTGTCTCAGTCTTTTCTTTTGAGAAGAAAAAATGTATTTGACTTTTCTGTTATGAGGGAAGAAAGGAGACTTGTAGAAGCCACAAAATTAGATTTTCTGTTTTTTTATTTTTTTAATGGTCAGTTCTTTTTCAGTTAGCCGTTTATGTTTATGAGATGTTTATGAATGTTTAGAGATGGAGCATAAAGAAGACCTCTGCCTGTTGTTGGTGATTGCTCCCTAAATATCAGTCACTATTTTTAGCCCAATTTAAAATATCCTTTCTTCTTATGTTAGTGGGAGGATTTCTAACACTTAGCTTGGTCAAACGTACCAGAATATGTGGTCGTAAAAGACTTACATTAAATGCATCAGAGTACCCGAGTGGTTTGTGAATGCCTACAGATGAGTGCCACTGATGTGTATTTATTCTGGTGCTGGTGTTGGTGCTATTTAGAAACTTCTGCCTTTGAGAGAGGTCTGTTCTGTATTAAACTGGATTTGTATTTCAATATATACAAGTTTCAAGTGTCACTTTGGAAAGTTTCTTCTCTAGTCATACTTATATAAAATTCAGATAGACTCTCCTATTTAAGATTCTAGAAATGTATATCCATTAATTTCCCATACATTATTTGTCAAAATATAACTCCTTATGGAAGTAGTTCTTATTTTCAAATATAAGGTTTTGATTTTTAAAAGGCAACTACCATATTATTTGGTACCTTTCTCAATAATTCTTAACTTTTATGTTATAATACCGCTTTCAGTTCTTAATTTGGAGTAAAAAACCCTTCCCTTTTATTTGTGCTCAAACTTTGAGCTGGCTTAGTATCAGGCTACTCTGAGTTTTAACCATAAGTGGTACCTTTGTCTTTTCTTTTGCTGTTCCTATTGAATAAAGAACATGTCCCATTGCAGTCCTAACCTAACCTAACCTAACAGGGTTCTAGTAAAAGAGACACAGGATCACAGACTCTCAGAGCTAGAAAAAGGAGCTCAGAAGTTATCTGGTGGAAGGAAGGAAGGAAGGAAAGAAGAAAGGAAGGAAAAAAAGCATATATTTAGCACTTACTGTGTGCCACATACTGGGCTCAGAGCTTTACAGATATTTCATTTCATTCTCAGAGCAGCTCTGGGAGGTAGGTGCAATGATTACCTCCATTTTACAGGCAAGGAAACTGAGGTAGACAAGTTAAGTGAGTTGCCCAGAGTCACATAGCTAGTATATCACCTCCACAAACTGAATGCACACTTCTTAAGTCACCATCCATCCTGGAGTGCTCCTTATCCACCATTCTGTAAAGTAATTTGCATTACTTATAATGAGACTTATTTTTTTCCAGCATCATTTCTCTTAAGCTCATTAAATTGAAGTGATTTTGATATAAAGAGGCCAACTATTTATAGTCACTGTCATTAGCTTTAAAATACAGTGTGGGGGCTTAAACATTTCCAGTCATATAGAATGCATACCTCTTTTCTCTATAAGATACAAAAGGAGTCAAAATGACTATATAGGCCTTCTGGCCAGAAACAGTGTAATTTTAACTTTATTCTTTTTTAATACTTCCTCTCCCCTCAACTATTTCTAGTAGTAGCAGCTGCTAGCTAGGGGGTAATTTGATTTGTGTTTTAATATTCATTTACCTCTATGTATTTGTTGCTTTTTTGGAGCAGATTAGTTTTATAAACTGACTCAGATGTTGTCTTAAAAACTGACTTTGAGCTATTTTCTTAAATAGCATCTACTTTCACATATAAGAAAAGAGTTAATAGAAAGACATCATATATTGAGATGAAATTTAATAGGAATAAATATTGAGACCCCCACTTTGGGTGGAAAAAAAAAAAGGAGAGGGAGCCAAGATGGTGGAATAAAAAGATAGTCGCTCTCATCCTCCCCTGTCAATGTCTGAAAACCCGGAAAATATCACTCCAGGAAAAAAAAAACCAAACCCTAGAACAGCAGAACTAGAAGAAAGACAGGGAACAGCAGTGCACCAGCCCAGCAAACAGCTCTCCCAGTGCCTCAGCAGAAATAAGGGAAGCAGCACTACAAAGGACCCCAGGTGGATAAGCACCCTGCAGCATTCATCTGAAAGGAGCTGAAGAAAGCAACCTAGAGTCTTCCTGAAGTCCCAGCCTTGCTGATTCCAACCCAACACCAGGTAAGCTGTCAGAATCCTACAGCCTCCAACTGTCAACCAGGAGGAGATCCTGAAGCCCAGGTGGTAGAGCAGACAAACACCAACACC